TGCGTATAATCATTTATAGATGTGCTTCTATTATACAACATGAAAATCTTGTTATAAGTTATATACAATATGGGGTTGTTGGCTTAAATTACCATATATATATTTTCGATTTATGTATTTTGTCCTTGAAGATATTTGCTCAGACTGGATCCATTTTATGGCAGATTGGCTATCAGTTTTCAAAATTATTGGAAAATTAATATCCCTGGACAATTCCTCTATTAGTCCTTTAGCCCATTTTACTTCACAGATTCCTTCGCATATGGAAATCAGCTCTGCCTCGCATTTTGATAAAGCCACCAAATTTTGCTTTTTATTTCCAAGTTTAATTGTGTATCCTGAATAAGACTTTGCGTCCTTTGTTGAGCACCAGCTCGCGTTTGTACTTATGATAATATTATTTTCTGTTGGCCTATATCTAAAAAAAATATTTCGGGTGACATTCATAACCTATATATTCTTTTGACTACCGTCAAATGCACTTCTAATACATAGTTATTATATTGCGATAAATTGCTCATATTGTGGATATATCTGGACGAGTTTTAATTGCCAGATACATGAGTGACTCGATCATCTCTTGGTACAATGTCTTGTCTACTGGCTTGGAGTCTTTATACTCATCAAAGTTCTGATCTCGATCTCCTGGAGTTTGTAAGATGTTGCATTCCTCGAGTCCAAATATTCTTTAAATATTATTAATGTAATGGGATTGTGACAAATCGTAACATATACTGTTCTCCTTGTTTCTATACCTATAAATGGTTTGTTTTCTTTTTTTCCTTTAAATCAACAAATTTTCTTTTTTTCTGATGCTAAATTATCATTGAATGCCTGGTCTGTTCTAGTTATTAGGAGATCATCAACATATAAACCCAATATTTCAAATTCTCATCACTTCTGTAAAGTACACACACATGGGTAGTATCTAGATTTTATCATTTCTATTTCTGCTAAAATTTCGTTAATTCTTTTATTCCAACAGCATTCAGATTGTGGAAGACTATATATGCTTTTTAACAGCTTTCCAACTTTATCTTCTTCATTCTTTTTAACAAATCCTTCTGGTGGTCTCATAAAAATAGTTTCCTTCAACTACTGTTAAGGTATGCCGTTTTTACATCATACGATTTTATGGTTATATTTAACTGTACCGCTAGGGCAACATTTACGTGAAGACTTTCCTTTTGGATCACTAGTGAAAAGGAATCTTCATAGTCGAATGCGTATTTTTGGTTACTGCCAATGGCGACTATTCTCGCTTTTTCTTTTAGGATCGCCCAAACCTGATTTTCCCTTCATGCTGTAAACCCATTTGCTATTTATTATCTTCATATTCTAAATATTGTTATATGCGTTTAAATATATTTTTGAAACATATTTTTTTTGTAAACATTCATTAAATTTCAAATAAGATATTTCAAACAAGTTTGAATATCCGGTCAAAAGTTAATTAAATTCTCCAAAGGTATCTATTTTGGACAATTTTTAAGATTCTACAGAATTAACAACAAATTAAACAACTTTATAAGTAAAATTAAAAACTTAAATGATGAATTTGAAAAAAAAAAAAATGGATTCAGCCAAAATACAATTAAAAAAATTAACATTTTAGCAATCAGAAAATATATTCACAAAAATAAATTTTCATACAATTTCAACTTCAATGACTTTAAAAATTTCACTATGATAATTTAATTAACTTTTGACTGGATATTCAAACTTGTTTTTCTCCGCTAACTTTAAATCGAAAATTTATTTATAGACATTAACCGTTTCCCCCTGGGTGAGTAGAATTTGCTTGTGATGTTAATTGTAATATACATATATTGAATTTTAAGTTGATAACATGAACCGCAATTCAATACATATAAATGAATGATCTACAATAATGTTAACAGCAATACTGAATTCAACTGGAACGCGCAATCTAAATACTACTTTCACTTGTAGACAATGATGCAACTAACAAGAGTCACATCATCTATCTCTCTTGATTCACTAACACTAACTACATTCCGCTAATCTAGATAATAAATAATTTAATTATAGGTAAATACTCTTGAAATCATAACATTCATAAGGAATGCTATCACACTAATTAAGTGTATATAGAAGCTATTATAAATATTTTCAAAGAAATTTTCTTTTATTTTTCAACCTCATCTTTCTCTCCTTTCCCTTTTATTTTTTTATTTTTCTTTTTTCTTCACCTCTTTTAATTGGACTTAGAACAAATAATAATTAAGATTTTAAATTAATAAAATAAAAAAATTCCATCTACACTAATAGACACTATTAAATTCAATTATCTGAAAAACCAATACCATACTGAAAAGGCACAATTTGGAATATTCTATATACAGTTACGAGCGTCATCATCTCTGTCACCGTTTGCTTTTTTTTTGGAATGGCGCTCTCCTATTGGTTCGCTACGATGGCGCCGGCACTGGGCGAGACACTTTGTTTTTGACTTTGCCCCCCCCCCCCCCCACTCGCTTTTTGGTTTTTGTAACTATTGTGTTGGAGCGGGTCGCTCCTTAAATAAATGCATCTATTAGTTAATAACTAAATGGAATCCTCTCTTTCTTTTTCCCAGTGAGAGAGGCCTACGGAAGCCAACAGTACATAGACAGATAAAGCACATAGGCTATAGTTGTTAACTAATATATGCATTTATTTAAGGCGCCAATTTATAATTGTAACAAATAGTATTCGAATAAAAACATTCAATCGGGTAAAACACGGGCGTTAATGATCCAACAGGTCCACGTGTCTAAATTAAAACACGGGCGTTGCCCGGGTCATTCGGCTAGTAGATTATAAACACAAGGTAATGGGACCGGGCCCAAATGAATGAGTGGTGTGTGGCATTTCGGTAGCGGCGTTGTTGCCCTCTTCAGACTTGTCTGAAGATTGTAACGGCGCTGATGCCGAAACGTCGCACATTGTTTATTTGTTTGGATTTGTTCTTTTTACCTGTGCTTACCAATACCATACCTTTATTTCTGTGTTTTCTCTAATTCTTACTTTGTTTGATCCTTTAAATTTATACAATAAATCTATATATATAAAAATGAATGTATGTGTGTGTGTGTCTGTCCTTTATGCCTGACCAAACCACTCATTGGAACGCCATGAAACTTTGGGAAGTTATTTAGTATATTACTGGGAAGGTTTCTAGCAAATAAAATTTTTGAAATAACTTTTCGCCTAAAAATAATCAAGATAAATATTCTAATTTATATGTTATAATTCAACAATCTGCCCTAAATATTATCATGATTACGATGATTTTGTAATGTAGAAAATTAGGAAAGACAAAATTCAGGATGACACGGCAATTTATTTGAGACAAGAATAATGATACAATTCCAAGGCAAGATACTATTCCTTTAACTTCCAATTACCGAGGGAACCAATTAATATTGATTTTATTCAACTTATCGAGTATTTTTCAAGGGACCGGGAAAAATGTTCACTTTATCGAGAGATTCTAATTTACGAGTTTCAAATTATCAAAATATACCTATTATTATTTTTTTTAAGTTTATAGAGAATTGTTTTAACAAATGTTCGTTAGACAAACCTTTACTCGTGTAAAACCCGGGCGAAGCCTGGTACATCCGCTAGTTTAGAATATTTTTTCTCTCCTTATAGCATACACATAACAATTATCTATGCTTGTTCAATCTTTATAAAGGGGGGTATAGAGAATGAACATTCAATCTAATTGATATAAAGCACTAAAACTTAAATTTCTAAACTTCCTTATTTAGCAGAAATAACAGGTACTGGTCCACATATAAATACTTTAAAAAAAGTATAGATAGGACTACATATAGAATATACGGTACCGTTAGGACCAATTCAAATAAATTGATGATGTGAGTTATTATGGAAAAGCATTTTCACCATTTTCAGACAAGGGACTTATTTCTTTGTCTGATGAAGCTGATATTTCCATTTATAGTATGACGCACATTCTTAACTTGTTTGAATTTAATCGTACTTTCTTGTAGTTCCAATTAATCCTTATCCTCTCGTACTTCTATTATCTTATTATTTTCCTGCAGTCCTATTATTTAGAGTGTATGAACACAATTTGGACCATAATCTGAACCTTCCAACATCAGACCAAGTTTATTTTTCTATGTTCTTTAATGTTAGATTTTCCTGTTCCCTTGTCGACGCCCAATGTTAAAGGCTTGGGATATGATCATATTTTCCTGTATTTGTAATAATCATTTAACTGTATTAAATATCTTTTCCAGATTTTTCTCTATGTCCTGTTAAAACACGTTTTACATGTCCATTAGGACAGCTGATTTTACCTCCCATCTTCACCGCTAGAGGCGCTGCTTGCGAGCGAAAGGGCAAATTTGCCACGCAATTTGCAAATAACTTGTATACATACTTGTATACTTGTGTACATAGACCATAAATCTGTACATAGACAGGAAAAGCACATACATTTTAATAATATAAATGAGTTTTAAAAATTGTAAAAAAAAAATGCATCGACCGGGAATCGAACCCGGGGCGCCCGCGTGGCAGGCGAGCATTCTACCACTGAACCAAAAGCAAACGGTGACAGAATTAAGAAAGAATTGTGCATGACGCTGATAACTGTATATATTAATGATACAGCAATATTGCCATCATCATTTTCTGAATAAAAAACAACTACTTTTTTTCCCAGAACCCGTCAATTTATTTTTCTTGACTAAATATCCGAAAAATATCTTTTCCAGATTTTTCTCTATGTCCTGTTAAAAAACGTTTTACATGTCCATTAGGTCAGCTGATATTACCTCCCATCTTCACCGCTAGAGGCGCTGCTTGCGAGCGAAAAAGCAAATTTGCCACACAATTTGCAAATAACTTGTATACATACTTGTATACTTGTGTACATAGACCATAAATCTGTACATAGACAAGAAAAGCACATATATTTTAATAATATAAATGAGTTTTAAAAATTGTAAAAAAAAAAAAAATGCATCGGCCGGGAATCGAACTCGGCGCGCGTGGCAGGCGAGCATTCTACCACTGAACCAAAAGCAAACGATGACAGAATTAAGAAAGAATGCATGACGCTGATTATATTAATATTCCAAATTGTGCCTTATCACATACTATTTATTTATTTGGATTTTGTCTTATTACCTTGTGTTTATAATCTATAATCCAAATTATGCCTTATCACACACTATTTATTTATTCGGATTTGGTCTTATTACCTTGTGTTTATAATCTATAATCCAAATTGTGCCTTATCACAAGCTATTTATTTATTTGGATTTGGTCTTATTACCTGGTGTTTATCCTTATATATATAAAAATGAAATGCGAAATCGATGTTTGTTATCGCATCACGCAAAATCTACTGACTCAATCATTATGGAATTTCGCATGTAGGTAGCTGAAGATTTCGTTTAACATATAGGCTATTCAAAAAACTAAAAAGTTAATGTGCTTTTTAAAAAAATAAAAAACAAAAAGCGTTAGTTCCAGTCATTTACCGCTAGGGCGCAGCACTGGTCGCGACGATAAATGAATTTGATTTTTTTAAAGCATCGGTGGTTCAGTGGTAGAATGCTCGCCTGCCACGCGGGCGGCCAGGGTTCGATTCCCGGCCGATGCATTTTTTTAAAACAATTTTTAAAACTCATTTATATTATCTATATTAATAAAATGCAAATTTCATAAGAGGACATCACTAAAAACTTTCGTTACAATGCATCAATTTCGACCAAATTTTCAACATTTATGTAAAACGAGATGGAGCAGGTTTTGCTTAACATCAAAATATTTTTCCCTAACATCAACATGCGTAACTTCGCTGTTATCGATTAAATACAAAAAAATCAACAGAGTTAATTTTATTTATATATAAATACAAAATTAAATTTCAACAGAGTTAATATTTCTACATACTAGCTAATAATCTCAATCTAAAAATATAATATAAAAAGCCAACAATGAAGAGTGAATGTAAGATAAAAAGCCAACAATGAAGAGTAAATGTAATATAAAAAGCCAACAATGAAGAATGAATGTAAGATAAAAAGCCAACAATGAAGAGTGAATGTAATATAAAAAGCCAACAATGAAGAATGAATGTAAGATAAAAAGCCAACAATGAAGAGTGAATGTAAGATAAAAAGCCAACAATGAATAGTAAATGTAATATAAATAGCCAACAATGAAGAATGAATGTAAGATAAAAAGCCAACAAAGAAGAGTAAATCTACTTATATAATTGCCTTATTCTGTCTGTGTGAAGTTCACTGTGTGAAGTTCACAGATAGATTTTGGTCAGAATATAATATAAAAAGCCAACAATGAAGAGTAAATATGATATAAAAAGCCAACAATGAAGAATGAATGTAAGATAAAAAGCCAACAATAAAGAGTAAATGTAATATAAAAAGCCAACAATGAAGAATAAATATAATATAAAAAGCCAACAATGAAGAATAAAGGCAATGTGACACGGCAATGTGACACGGGAAAAAATGTTCACTAGATAAAACTGATTTTCTAATGTAGAAAATTAGGAAAGACAAAATTCAGGATGACACGGCACACAGGGACCGGGAAAAAAATGTTCACTTTATCGAGAGATTCAAATTTACGAGTTTCAAATTATCAAAATATATCTTTTTTTTTTAAATAAGTTTTTAGAGAATTGTTTTAACAAATGTTCGCTAGACAAACCTTTACTCAGGTAAAACCCCGGGCGAAGCCGAGTACGTTTTATAAGTTTATAGAGCATTGTTTTAACAAATGTTCGTTAGACAAACATTCACTCGGGTAAAATCTTTTATATAAATGGAAATTTCATAAGTGGTGTTCGCTAAAAACTTTCGTTACAATGCATCAATTTCGACCAAATTTTCAACATTTATGTAAAACGAGATGGAGCAGGTTTTGCTTAACATCAAAATATTTTTCCTAACTTTAAAATACGTAACTTTGCTGTTATCGATAAAATACAAAAAAATTCAACAGAGTTAATTTTATTTATATATAAATACAAAAAAAAAATTCAGCAATTCATTCAACACAATCTAAAAAATATTCAAAACAAGCAATTTTAAGATAACACCATATGTAAAACAGTCGGCCAAGAAAACAACAACGATATTACATCTTTCTCACATATTCACACACAATCTTGATTAATAATTAAAACTAATCTTTAGCATTGTTTATTATACTTCATAATATATAATATTCGTTAGGCAAACTTTCACTCGGATAAAACCCGGGCGAAGCCGGGTACACATCCGCTAGTTTTCTATAATCCAAATTGTGCCTTATCACACACTATTTATTTATTTGGATTTGGTCTTATTACCTTGTGTTTATAATCTATAATCCAAATTATGCCTTATCACAGACTATTTATTTATTTGGATTTGGTCTTATTAACTTGTGTTTATAATCTACTAGCGGATGTACCCGGCTTCGCCCGTGTTTTACCCGAGTAAAGGTTTGTCTAACGAATCTCTCGATAAAGTGAACATTTTTTCCCGGTCCCTTGAAAAATACTCGATAAGTTGAATAAAATCAATATTAATCGGTACCCGAGTAAAAGTCTGTCTAACGAACATTTGTTAAAACAATTCTCTATAAACTTATAAAAAGAAATAGATATATTTTGATAATTTGAAACTGATAAAGTGATCATTTTTTCCCGGTCCCTGTGTGCCGTGTCATTCTGAATTTTGTCTTTCCTAATTTTCTACATTACAAAATCATCGTTTTATCTAGTGAACATTTTTTCCCGGTCCCTTGAAAAATACTCGATAAGGTTGAATAAATTCATGGTCGTTTATGGAAGATGGACGAAGTTCCCGGAGGTCATCTTGGGCAAGCTCCCGCGAGGCTTTTTTTCTTGTCTACTTGGCATAGCTGTGTCACCAACTCTGCCCTGATTGGTCGGTGGGTACTTGGACTGTCGGCCGGCGGCCGGGCGAATCCATTCTCTCACGGGGTGGGGCAGACCCAAGGTCATCAGGAGCAGCAAACCTAAGCCTATCTCCGTCTCAATGGTGACGAGTTAAAGCTACAAATCTGCAAATATCTCTAAGGATATTAAAGATATTCAAGATATTATTTTTCGTAAACCTTTCCGGGGATATGCCTAATAATATCCCAAATTTTCACGGCGATTGGATGTATGGTTTTTGAATCCATAGAGGACACACACACACACTCGGCCGTGCGGCACGCATTTGTCGAGCTCCGCCTTTTTCCCACCCTGGCGGGTGTATGGCTACCGGCGGTACGCCGAGTTTAGCACGGGCTGAAAGCCCATTAAAACCTGATCAGATGCCTGGAAGGCACGGCTTTAAAGCACACCTCTGTGCAGAGAAATCTGCAATTTTCGATTCGCAGAGCAATTACTCTAATTATCAAGAAGCATTTGATAAATATGCAAATTTGCCCGCCGGCGGTAAAGATGTAAATCTGGCCGCGCCGTTCAACTTGGCGGCTAATCCATCTTCCAATGCCGTAGCCCAAGCTCAAAGAAACTGGGCAGACATGACAGAGGATATAAATCCTGAAATTGAGGACAACTTTACTCTTGTCCAGAGAAGGAAGAGACGCCGCGGCTCGGCGAATTCGCCTACAGCGAATGCACCATCCTCCAATGTCGGAGGTTCTAGGACCGATCGCCGACCGCGATCATCCACGGGATGGGCGCCGCGGGCGGAAGAGATTAGGACCACCAGGGCGCATATCGCGGAGGCCAGGGCGCAGCAGGCGTCCTCCTCTGAGGAGTACTGCGTGTATATCGAACGCAGCCCCGACCTAGAGCCCTTCCACTACCTAAGGGCACTGGACAGAATGGTCGGAGGAACCGGCGGAGTCGTCCAGGTTTCCAAGGTCAACGGACTCTACCTGCTGGGACTAACCAACAGAGGCCTGGTCGAGCGCCTCATAAGCGAGGGCCTCGAGGTTGAGGGCACACTCCTGAAAGCATTCCCTTTCCGCAAAAGAGCGGAGAGGATAACAGTTGGAAATCTGCCCTTCTTCGTGGCGGACTCTGTCATCATCAACGCCCTCTCGACATTTGGGCGTGTTACATCCATCGCGCCCAAACTGATGAAGGCTGGCCCTTACATCTACAATGATGGCCGCCGAGAGGCGTTCATTGCCCTCCACGAAGGAGTGACAATCGAAAGGCTTCCTACCCGCCTCGAGATCAAAATAAAAGGCGAGACCTGGCCCGCATACCTGACCTCTGGAATCAGGTGTTCCAGGTGCCACGGTCAAGGACACCGTAGGGCCATCTGCCCCCTGCTTGCAGGGCTGGCCAACAACACCAGAATGGCCCCACCAACCACTCCTGCCGGCGTCCCACCATCGACCACCCCTGCACCGCCTCAGCGATCAGCAGCCCAGCCTCCTGCACCGGCATCCTCCGACCCAGCCTCGGAGACTCCCGGCACTCCTCCTGAGGCCCGAGCTGTAACTACATCTACAGCACCTCGGCCATCTCCACCAGTGGCCCCGGCCGTACCTATGGAGAAGGCGCCTTCTGCCCCTCCACCTGTGACCCCTGCTCCGTCCCTGCAGGCGCCTGAGGGTCCCGTGGGCCCTCGCCCGGCCAATTCACAACATCCAGAGCCGCCTCCCGCTCGGCCGGACATCGTTGCCCCGCGTGGCCCTCTGCCCGCCCAGAAGACCCTCGGGCCTGCGGCCCCAACACCGGACGTGGAAATGTCCACCACTGAGGAGCCCTCTGCTCCCTCACCAGCCGCAGTTTCAACACCCCCACTGCCTGCGCCTCGGCCTGCTGGGCCGACACCATCTGCTCCCCACAAAGAGGATCCGACACCGGCTATGACACCTCCTTCCCCACCACCTACCCCGATGGAGGAAGACCTGCCGCCGAACCTGGGTGATCGCATCGATGAAATTTTAGGAGAGATCATCATTTCCAATATCGACCCTGGACCCTTGGTCGATGATGAAATCTCCTGGACCGACGCCATTGATGCCATCCTACATCCCCATTCTAGGGCGCCTTTCCTTGCGAGACTCTCG